AGTTATGTTTTTTTATATTTAGCAGTTTTGTTAACTGTGTAAGACACGAGAACAATTGTATAATAATAAATGCATTTGGTATTCGCTAGAATAACGACGTTTTTTTCTACTTCTGAATTTTCTCGTTTGACCATCGCCGTCTGTTTCTACTTACTTGATGAAACTTGGTCAAATTTTTTTTCTACCTTACCGAAACTTTTGCGATGGCTATCTCTCACTCCAAAATGCTTTTTACATTTATAAAATAAAGATTTACATATATATTTACCAGAGATGAGATTTTTTTCTTCAGAATTTTTTTTTTTTTTATGAGTTCAGAATATACTTTACAGGGTATATAGGATATCCCTGTATACTTTATTGTTAATATATAGGTTTCGGAGCACAAGAAAATAGAATAGTTCTTCTACCAGACTGAGAAGTTTAAAGCCCCTATAGGGATGTAACACCAGAAGCGACATGTAACAACTTTCGCCCAAGGTGATCGCGGGAGTGGATTTGCAGCAGAGGATGCTTTTACGCGTGTCACCCTTTCGCCGCGCACGAATAACCGCGAAATGTCGTAAGAGACACTTGCGTGCGTGTATGTGTTTATATATGTAACACCAAACCTAGAACGATGGCATAAAAACCCGGTGTAAAAAACGCGATAGTCCGTTATGACATTCCTCTGCTTCGACGCAACCGGCTTTTTTAGCTTATTAAGTTTTATGATGGGATTCATTGCCAAGGAAGCTAAAAAAGGAAGATAATAAATGGCACTGTTTGTCCAAATTTACGAAGATATAGACGGAGGGTAATTTTGTCGGTCTCAAATTCTATTTGCTCTCTTATTTTTTTTACCAATTGAAAAAAACTCTATCGCAAAATATTCGATTATTTGTTTCTTCAAATCAGTTTTATTTTTCTTCATCTATTTTATTTAATTCTTGTGTATAATTTTTATCATTATGTTATAAATTTTATAAATAAAATTTAGTAATTTGCATTAATTTATTGCTTTTATAATTTTATTTACTAAAGAAAATTTATGTTCTAAAAAAAAAAGCGATCTATCTTCAGCTCAATATTAAACAAAAAAAATTATTTTTGTTGGTTATACGTAGATTGATCCATTCTGAGTCTACCGTGTCACGAATAAGGATTTAGGGTTAACATCTCAACCCCCAAACAAATGTTGGGTCCGAAACATCCCTATAGACCTGGCCCGATTAAACGAAGCAATTTGTAGACGATCTTTCGCGCCCACGCAATCTCGCTGATTCATGAATTAAACAGCGCCGCTTCGTTTCCGCTAGTGCGTGCGTAAAAATATGCAGAGGGGGAGGGGGAGGGGGACTATACAGGCGCGTGTATATGTAAACGCGTGTGCGTAGCCGCGTCGATGTTTTTCCACCGCCACGGTATAAACGGCAAAAAATGGTTGAAGCTAACAGGGAGGAAGATGGAGTCGAGCCAATTACCAACGACCTGCTGGCAATTTCAGCATTGTACTTACTTCCGTAGTTGGACCTTTACTGGCCTGGAAAGAAATTGGGAAACGAAAGAGGTAGAGCGGTGCAATACAGTTGTGGAGATTTCCCCCATTTTTTGTCGAGAGAAAACTTATCATTTACGATACATTAGATATGATTTCTTGTTATAGACATGGATTAACGCTCTATTTCGCAGCTATTGTATTATTTTATTTTCGTGAAAATCTGCTATTTGTTTTATGTTGTAAAAACGTAGTTCATTCAAAATTTTAGAAGAATTACGACACAGACAATGTGACGTTTTGCATTTCAAGTATTCTCGCAGGCAAGAGAAGGCAGAATATATCCACGATTTTCGTGATAACAATCGCTTATAAAGCAAAATGTATTTTTCTAAATCTGGGATAAGCGTGTTGAGGACGAATCGCGAAAAAGGGATAGTAATTCGATTCGACTTTACGAGTCTTTTTTGAGAGTGAACTAATGAGCACCGAATAAAATTTTATTTTTATAGATTATCCACTATATAAGTTTAACGTGGCGCATTGCGTTGCACGTTGATGATTGCGTAATATGATAATTCATTCGTTATCCGCGCTTGATGGAGCTGTTGTAAGGCGCATGTAACAGTAGACCGTTATTTTCGCGAAAATATCGTTCGGCGGTTTATGCGCTACGGGGAAAATGTTGAAACAATTGATAAAAAAATATTTAGCAATTGAATCAAGCGCTGGACGAGCGCGTGCTTATATAAACCGACAGCATGTTCTCGAAATATTTGTTGTTCTTCAATAAAACGTTACCAGCGCTGCACTGTCGGGGTCTAGCTGGCTATTTTTTATCCATACTGGATATATCGACGCGTAGTAATATTACTTGCAGCACCGTGCGGCAAGCAAATAGACGGAGTTTATACATCAAATGGAAGCGCGAGCGAACCGGCCGGTTTTGATTGCAAAATGCAATTAATTAATGATTACTTGCCGTAACTCGACGCTCGGTCCCGGATACCGCTGTCGGGGGGAAAGTTCCCGGAATCTGCGAGTGTCCGTGCTTATCTAGCCCTAGTAGTGGATAGACCAGCAGCGAATAACGTATAACTTGGTTGGGACTTTGTCGCGAGACACGTCGGCCATTTCGGCTAACGTTCATCACATTGTACCTTGTACATACACTAGCTACTCACACTGTATTTCGTCAATTTACTTGAAGTCGCAACAATGCACACCAACAGGGATGGCAGCTTGACCGCAGGACAGCATCTCGTTCCTTGGCGATGTCTTCGAGGCTCCATTCACCAACTTGAGCAATGAGTTAATTCAAGGGATTATACCTGAAATTTACATTAGTTGGGATCTGATAAGATAGATTTATATTAAAATAATATTATTATGAATAATAATAATGTTATAAATGATGAGATCATTAAAATGTGAATTAATCCTGTTTAAAAGTCAGATTAATTTTTCAAAAAGAATAAAAATCTTGATATAAAAAAATGTGAGTATGTGATATTATATATTTAAAATGTTTAAAGGCTTCTTATTGGTTGCTATTTTGCAGATAGATTTATGAATGAGAAATATTATTTCTCGCGATGCTTCACGTTGCATCGTTAAATTTTCAACGATTCAATATCAAATAATGTGTTTGTGGTAAAATGTCAATCATACGAAAGAAAATTTCACGATCTGTTCATATTTTTGAAATTTACCTCGTAAAAAATTTTTTTCCAATTTTAGTGCGAAGTAATAAAATCCACCAGAATATTTTTGCAGAATAGAAATTCAAGTCTTTGATCCATAATGTGTGTAATCATAAATGTAACGTGCAAATGTGAAAACAGCTATCTTGGACAGCTGTACACTCTTTGCGCATTCTGATTAAATAATTTCGTGCGTCACGCGTCATAAAAACGGCACAGATGAGACGCAGACGGCTGACACGCAAAAATCTCTTTCGTTCGTTCGTCAGAGAGCTAAAGAGGAAAAAGTGCGTTGCGCAAAACAGATTTTTAGCGGAAATGCATTTCCACGTGCAAAGTGATGCAAGTAGGATGAGAAAAGCGGTGAGGAGGACAAAGAGGCGTTGGGTAGTAATTACTCTAATGACACCCGGCGATGACGCCGCGGTTTACTTCCTCCTATTGTCGTCGTTCACCCGCACGTAGGAGGACGCGCCGAAGTTTGTCGCTTCAACATCTGTGCGGTATTCATCGTCCTCGCTTGTAGCCATGTGTCGATCTTCCGGATACAATTAAGGTCGGGATTGCGCGTGACGGCAAGCATCCCCTTCCCCCCCTTTCCTTTCTTTGCCGCCGTAATTGTCTTAATTCGTTAAAGACGGGAAGAGAGAGAAGAGAGAGGAAGAGAGACAGAGAGAAAGAGAAGACCCTGAAAATATATCACTTTCAATTTTTAAAGAGAGTTGTTATAATAATAAAATTTCATTATATTCATTATCGAATAATATACATTATGTATAATATTAGTCTATCACATTGTGATAATGATAATAATATATTTGTTATCTTGTGATAACATTTATACTATTACATTTATAATTTGTGATAACATATATTTAATTGAATTTAACGTACAATGACAATATGATTTAAATTGTACACTACAATTGTAGTAATCTTTTCCGCTCCGTAAATGTCGCGATTTTTTCAATAACTTTTTCAATTAATTGCAATATAATGAATTGTGATTTAATGAATATTAAATTGTAAAGTAAAAATGTGTTTTCTATTTCTTCTGTATTCTATTTATCAGAAAACACACTTTCTTTCGTAATACTTATTATTAAGAGTGTAACGTATTTTCTCTAACGTATAAATAGAGAGAATATTTACTACGTCATTTCTTCTTAAAACGTATATATGTAGTGTTCATTAAGCAACATCTCCAAGAGCTGAGAATAACAAACTTATTCTAATTCTAGTCGTCGCCTGTACATTCTTATATAACGTGAGTCTTTTCGATCGTAAACGTAATACCAGGAACGTAACTTCAGATGTTTCTCTCTACTTTAATTTTTATGATAAAACTCTTTGTGATAAATAGATGATGAATAGATTGCAGAGATACATAAATAACTTTTTCAAACAATAAATACATAAGGATATAAATAAAAAAATCATTACCACATTATTATCCATATTTCAACCTTATAAATTCCGATAAAATTGTCGAAAAAATTGTTGAGCGTTTCGAAATTTTGACAATCTTGATAGCCGAGAATTGTTCACGAGCGAAATTTATGCCCCGTCACGAATTTGAATATTAGCGTCAATTTCGATTTTTTTGAATCAGCATAATTGACTTTGATGAATCGGCATTATTATTTTGCTCTGTCGCGATGATTTGCAGATGTGCTCTGATCGGAGAGCTATCATATGAGGAAAACTGTTATCTTGGAAAAGCACAAACACAAAATGCATATATAGAAATATAAAGGAAAAGAGAGAGGGTATGAAATCCCTACCGCCGGCACATTGGCAGCGCATATGTCGACTGTCGTTGGACAGTAGTTACTGAACGTTAGTCAGTTAGTCATTGAAGAAACAGACAGAGGAATTGATTGACTGATTGCCAGTTTGTCGGCGACCTGCAGTTCATCGTTACCGGATAAAATTATCGATTTGTTATTTGCAACGTTTAGACTTCGAACCAGACCCATATTTCGTTATACTCGCAACATGCGGTGGCTATATTCGTCTATCATTCTCTTCGCGATCGCAGTGTTTCTTTCGTGTGACTGTGATGCCGCCAACGAGACCACGTTTGTCAACACTACTAAATCGAAACTCAAGATACTAGGTGTCTTCGGTCATCTTGGCAAGAGTCATTTCGACGTGTTCAAGCCGCTTTTAGAAGAGCTGGCTCGCCGTGGCCACGAACTCACTGTACTCTCGCATTTTCCCAGAAGTGAGAATGCCAAGGCGAAGGAACCGTTGCCAACTTACAAGGATATCAGTTTAGTGGACACCGAGCTCGGTGTCTACGTGGACATCGTAGATCTCCATCAAATCCACCACAATATCTTCTCTATTCTGCGGGAACTCTATTTTCTAAGATTCATGGCTGATGTCGCGTGTAGCACTGGTCTGCAGAATCCGGCGATCAAGGAACTTTTGCGATCCGATGAGAAGTTCGACGTGATTATCACGGAAAGCTTCAACACCGACTGCTTCCTGGGTTTCGTTCATCGGTTCAAAGCGCCCTATTTAGGCCTGTCGTCGAGTCAGATTATGCCATGGATCAACAAAGATTTCGGCAACGAGGATAATCCTAGTTACATTCCGTCGATATTCGTAGGTTTCACCAAGCCCATGGATTTCCCCAAGAGAATATGGAACAGAGTGACATTGTCGATATTAAAGCTGGCTTACGATTACTGGTATCGACCTCGCGACCAGGTATTCGCTAATGAGGCCTTCGGGCCGGATCTTCCTGAACTGAGCGAAATTGCCCGGCAATCACAGGCGTTGCTGGTGAACACGCATAGTAGCCTTCACGGTAGCAAGCCTCAGCTGCCGAATGTGGTGGAGATCGGCGGGCTTCACATCCCGTCTAAGATCAATCCGCTACCGAGCGATATAGCTAAGTTCCTCGACAGCGCGCACGAAGGAGTGCTCTACTTCAGTTTGGGTTCCATGATAAAATCGACGACGATGCCGCAGGAGAAGTTGGACGCGATATTGACTGTACTCGGCTCGATACCGCGGAAGGTGATCTGGAAATGGGAGAGTGACGAGCTGCCGCGTAAATTGGACAACGTTATGGTCAAGAAATGGCTGCCTCAGTTCGAAGTCATGAGTAAGTGAAAGGATGTACGTTTTCTTCTCCTTTCCCGAGATCTTGTATTCAAGGTCGAGTCGTTGTTAAGCATCAATTAGGCTTTGAGTTAATGCAACTAGCGCGAAAGATATGATATATGCATAATATAAATCATTTTAATCATTAATTATTATGGTGAAATCTAATTTAAAATATATTTCATAAAGTCTTAAATATAATTAAACAAAATTTTAATATTTTAACGTCTTTAATAAAGATTAATAAAAATTTACATCGCGTTATATAACATATAGTACAGTATTTATATAAATTAGATTGGCTTAACCAACTATTAAAACAGTTAAAAATCATATAAGACAAATGTCGTGAAAAATAATGATAGATAAGTTCAACAATATTTTAGTATGTTTGAAATGAAGCGTACATGATGCATCACTTATACGATAATTATACGATAATACAATATTCGAATATGTATTAATGAATAACCTGATTTCAATGCATGATACATGCATGATAAATGTGTTCTCTCATAGCACATAAACACTGAATAATAAGGAATTACATTGAGAGATATGACAAAATTTCTCAAAAATAAACATGAATATTCTTTGATACTTATTACTGATATATTGAATTAAATAATCTAGATACGATACAGGGTATTTAAAAGTTCTCAACTATAAAAAATTTTTTTGTAGCAAATTTGAAATTTTGAAAGAAAAGTATTAAAATTTATACATATTTTCTATTTTTTAAAGTTACATATTTTTTTTTTAAATATTATAATTTTTTATTTTATGATTTACACAGTATGTTTTTGAGATATTATAGAAGAATTCCTATTTAATATACCTAAGAAGATATAATTTAAAGCGCAACCTTAGCGGTAAAAGTGAGAGGTAAATTGCAGCCTCAATATTCATACATGCGCATGCACACATGGAAATGTAACCAATCATTGTCACGAGTTTGTATTATTCAAGTTGCTGCAATTCATTGCAATCTGTCCTTTAAAGTCGTAGTGATATATTACTTAAGTTTCATTGGTCGCAATGATCATAAGATCACAGTTCCGAGATCATGTAGGTGTTACATGATCACTCTAGTTGATATATTTTTTTTGAGAAGATAAATGAGAAAATATCGATTAAATAAAGTCTCAATGCAAGACTCTTAATCAATCCGCTCTTTACTCGTGCATATGTATTTCACGGATAAAAAAATCATAAATTAAATTTTTATCAGAAACAGCTCATAAAGATATCAAGTATCAGCTATAAAATTAACATACCAGCAAATCAGCATGTGACATACGATTTTATAATCCGATCATAGTATTATCTCCGTGTTTAAACCGTAACATATTGTATTATTTAGCCATGAGATGTTGCTAGATAACTTGCCTATTATTATATTTATCAATCTATAATAGATAATAAATAGTAATAATAATATATGATTATTATAATATAGCACAAGATAACTTAATGAGAAAAATGGATAAAGCACATAATCTGATTTTACTATTGTGCTAATTAACAAAATTATTAACAAAAATTGGAAAAAAATAAAGGAAGTAATCAATAGCGGAAGCTACATAAAAAATATTTTTTGTTAGACAACTGCGATTAAAACGATTGCTATGATAATTTTAAGCTAATGAGTTGGCGTAAAATATTTATTCGCGAACTATCCTAACTATAGGTTTTCTTACGCCAATAAACACGTCAGTCAAGTGAAAAATTCGCGCAGCGTCGATCGCGCGGTCGCGGATAATTCCGCTCCGCGACTGCCGTTTCCGCGAGTCGCGGTCGCGCTTTTATAGCAGGCCAGACTGCGCACGTGGATTTGCAATGGTAATGCCCTGCTAAAAATTTCACCGGGTCGTTTTAGACACCGTTTGACATATTTTATTGCCCTCGCGCGCGCGCACGCTCGATGATCGACGGCCACACCTGCGGCGTGCAATTTTATTTCTTCCTATTTTTTACCGTTTTTGCCTTTTTATCGCGTTGTTCGCGGTTAAACTGTATCGTCCGCGGAACGCGTGTTTTCATTCCGTTCGTACGGTTCTTCCGGTCTCGCTCTATTTTCTGTTAATAATAATGCCCTCTTTACCGGCGGCTTTTACGACACAACTTTCGCTGATAAGATTTTATCAAATTTAATCACAATAGATAATCCCAATAGATAATCCCTGGTTCGTGTATATTATCTCTGTTTTATATTTATATCCACGGCGTCTTAAGATAACAATACAATTAAAAAGCTTAAATTGCAGGTATAAAAAGAAATTCATTTTATTATAGTGTTCGGTAATGCACTTTTAAATATAAAATTGCAACATATTATCAATAAAAAAAATATTTAATAATATTAAAAAAAGTTTTTTTCACAAATATTTCTATTATCCGAAATAATACTGACTTTTTCATCACGTCTATTCATTTGTGCACACCTGTGCACAAATAAATTAGCTGTACAAACATATACACACGTTCTATTGCACAATATCGTCATCTTTTCATTGAAAGTTGTAAAAAAATATATTCTTTTTACTGCTTTTATTTAAAAATGTGTAGCAAATAATTTAAAACATTTTTTATCATGGCCATACAATCGTTTTCTATCACAGCTTTTTCTAATTACATGAATACACTAGCGGATCCTAAGGGGGGGGGGGGTTAAACCCCCTCCCCTTCCAAGTTAAAAAAAATCAATTTTGCTGAATTTGTTTCAAGAATCTTGGTAAAAAATGCATTAAAGTAGGTCAAAACCCCCCCTATTATCGACATCAGGATCCGCTAGTGCATGGATATAATATCCATGTAACATTTCATTAAAATTTGAAAAAATTCTTGAAAACTCAATGTAATGCGATAACTGCCTTAAACCTTGAGTTGATCAGCAAATGAATAACAATTTATTATTCAACAAATAATAAATTATTGTCAAAGACATTTGCTTATCAAACACATTAGCTATTCATATGAATAGTTACTATTCATATGAATAGTTATATAACTGGTCGTTCGATCACGTTAATTACTTGCAAGATTACAGAATTCTATAAGTATTCGTTATAACAGATCGCAGATAGAATGACATGTCTTATTGAATTATTAGGAGCGATTTTTTTGTTTGGTTCTGTAACGCAATCGCGTCGTAATTCTATGCTGAATCGGATCACCTTGCAATCTGTAAGCGTATGCCCGTCGACGATAGCATCGCTCTACTATTACGCGAAATATAGGCTCGCGTGCATTCTAATGCAACAATACGCGACTGTTGCAATTGCAGCCGCACGTTGCTCTCTGAGAACAATATCCCTCGACGGAAAAAAAGAGACTTATTTGAGAGTCTTTATCGATTTATAAGGAAAAACGTCAGAAAGTTTTCTTTCTTTGAGCTTCTTTTCTAAGCGCATATAAATAATTGAAGAATAAGTGAGAAATAAAGAAAATAATACCGAAAAACGACAGTTGATATAATGTGATTATAGACAGATCTAGAAAGTTATTGCAGTTCATTGATGTTCATATAGACAAGTATGACGACAAAACGAAGAAAATAAGGAAAGTTTCAAGTTTCAAGATTTCTCTTCGATTAGTTCAAAATAAATTTTTAGTTTCTTTTTGTCGTGTATCATGATTTAATTTATTAATCGTGATAGTGATTAGATTTACTTCACGATTGTACGAAATATTAACAAGTTATCAAAATCCATGCGTTACAGAAACCAAACAAAAAAATCGCCACTAATTTAATGAGATGTGCCATTCGATCTGCGATACCGTTATATAACAAATATTTATAAAATTTTGTAACTTGCAAGTAAAACTAACGTTATTGAACGACCGGTTATATAACTATTCATAACTAATGTACTTTGATAAGCAAATGTCTTTGAAAATAGACATACTTTTATAAATTTTGTTTGTAAAATAGAGCGCTTATCACCTCTTGAAAAAATTTGCAATAGTAAGTAATAGTAAACTATATATTTATTTATTTATGAAAAATAATTTAATAATGCAATAGAATGCTAATGTTGCTAATATTGGTGTTATAATAATATAACATAATTCCAATATTATTGCAGTGAAATAATATAACATAATTTCAATAATATCGGCATATATTGGAATTATAATTGCGCAACTCTATTATATCCTATCTAATATTAAAAATGATATCTGATAACATGTGTCCACCATGTGTATTCATTCATATATTATCTTAAATTAACGTTAAGTTACAATGATACAATGAAACAATGTTTAAAAAATTATATTCAAATTTATTGAGATTGTGGAGAAAAAAAGAATTAAAAGTGCAGATGTGATAGACAACTTATTAAAACGTCATGCATGAAGAACAGTGAGAGTCATTATCGTGATTAATTCTGCAAAATGTGTGTTAGATATGTGTTAGCCAACCAGATGATGTAGAGTGAACGTGTCTATTGCCCATAACCGCGAGAAATTGGAATACTTCTGGAAAGAGCAGAGATTCCCCGGCTAGCGCACGCGGTGAAACTAATCACGTCGAATCGTGGCGGAATCGGTTCGCACGCGCGAAACATCGAGAGCGGCTTTCGAATCCCCGAAACCGTACGGTAGCTATGGTATGTGCTATTGAAGTCCAGGCCACGCGGGGGCGAGCGTCAAATAGTTTTGAACGGCCAAATCGGAAAGCGGCCCTAGCATATTTGAGGAGCTTTTGGTGTTCCTGGAAACGATTCGCGATCTGGCGAATAGCGATACACAGACGAATGTCGAGTTAATTGGTGAGGAAAATCGACGTCGAGAATTTGCAACGATAATATGGAGTAATATAAACATCGAGATACGTTTTTGCGCAAAAAGAAATAAGTGTTTCTCCGTGCTATAATTGAAGAATAAAATATCATTTAGAATTATACTTGGAGACATAACTGTTACGATATTTTTGCTACGCAGTAAAAATAATTTATATTATAATGTATGTATATGTATATTGCGTATAAAAAAAAA